TGCAGTTTTGATTTGCATCTCTCTAATGGCTAATGATGACAAGCATCTCTTCGTTTTTTAGCCACCTGAGTGTCTTTTTTGGTGAAGTATCTGTTCATGTCCTTTGACCATTTTTTTAAATTACTGTACTTTAGATGGTTTACAGTACAAACTAGTTTCTCATTAAACAGTTACTACACATATTGTTTTATGACATTGGTAACAACCACACGACATGTCAACCCTCTTCCTTCTCAACCCTGCGTTCCCCATTATCAGCTTTCCTGTCCCCTCCTGCCTTCTAGTCCTTGTCCCTGGACTGTCGTGCCTTTAGTCTCATCTTGTTTTATGGGCCTGTCTAATCTTTGGCTGAAAGGTGAACCTCAGGAGTGACTTCATTACTGAGCCAAAGGGTGTCCGGGGGCCATACTGTCAGAGTTTTTCCAGTCTCTGTCAGGCCAGTAAGTCTGGTCTCTTTTTGTGAGTTAGAATTTTGTTTTACATTTTTCTCCAGCTCTGTCCAGGACCCTCTATCGTGATCTCTGCCTTTGACCATTTTTTAATTGGGTTGTTTGTCTTTTTTGTTGTTGAGGTGTTGAAGTTTTCTATAAATTTCAGAGATTAGGCCCTTTTTGGATATGTCACAGCCAATTTTTTTTTTCCCAGTCCGTAGCAGGTTCTCTTTTTAGTCTTTTGATGAAGTCTTTTGATGGCATAAGTGTTTCAATTTTAGGAGGTCCCAGTTATCTAGTTTATCTTCTGATATTTGTGCATTTTTAGTTATGTTTGGTATTCTACTTATGCCATATGTTAGGGCCCCTAGCGTTGTCCCTATTTTTTCTTCCATGCTCTTTGTAGTTTTCTTTGATCCATTTTGAGTTAGTTTTCGTGTATGATGTGAAGTATGGATCTTGTTTCATTTTTCTGCAAATGGGTATCCAGTTTTGCCAAGACCATTTGTTAAAGAGAGTTTCTCTTCTCCATTTAATGAACTTTGATTCTTTGTTTCATTGGTCTATGTGTCTGTCACTGTACCAGTACCAGGCTGTGTTGACTGTCGAGGCTGTATAGTAGGTTCTGAAATTGGGAAGTGTGAGGTCTCCTACTTCGTTCTTCTTCTTCGATAATGCTTTGTTTATCCAGGACCTCTTTTCTTTCCATATAAAGTGGTGATTAGTTTTTCCACGTCATTAAAGAATGTTGTTGGAATTTGGATCAGGATTGCATTATATTTGTAGGTCGCTTTGGGCAGTACTGACATTTTCAGTTGAGACTTCATGATGTTGAGACTTCCTATCCATGAGCATGGTATGTTTTCCATAGGCGCCCTGGTGGCACAGCAGTTAAGAGCTATGGCTGCTAACCAAAAGGTCAGCAGTTTGAATCCACCAGCCACTCCTTGGAAATCCTATTGGGCAGTTCTACCCTGTCCGATAGGGTCACTATGAGTTGGAATTGACTCAGTGGTGACAGGTTTTGGTTTCTTGCAGTAGTGTTTTGAGTTTTTTTTTGTATAAGTTTTTTATATCTCTAGTTAGATTTATTCCTAAAAATTTTATCTTTTTGAGGGCTATCATAAATGGTATTGTTTTCCTGATTTCCTTTTCAGGATTTTTCTTTGTTGGTGTAAAGGAATCCAACTGATTTTTGTATGTTGGTCTTGTACCCTGCCACTTTGCTGAATTCTTCTTTTAGTTCCAGTAGCTTTCTTGTGGAGTCTCTGTGATTTTCTATGTATATGATCATATCGTCTGTGAAAAGGGATAGTTTTATGTCTTCTTTACCAATTGGTATGTCCTTTATTTCCCTTTCTTGCTTTATTGCTCTAGCTAGGACTTTCAGTACAATACTGAACAAGAATGGTGATAAAAGGAATCCTTGTCTGGTTCCCATTCTCAAGGGGAATGCTTTCAGTCTCTCTCCACTGAGAATAACACTGGCTGTTGGTTTTGAATACGTGTCCTTAAATTATGTGGAGGAATTTCTCTTCTGCTGAAATGTTTTTATCTAGCATGGGTGTTGGACTTTATCAAATGTTTTTTCTGCATTGATGGAGATGATCATATGGTTCTTATTCTTTATTTTATTTATGTGGTGGATTATGTTGATTGATTTTCTAATGTTGAATCATCACTGCATACCTGGTATGAATCCCACTTGGTCACGATGTATCACTTTTTGAAATGCTGTTGAATTCTAATGGTTAGAATTTTGTTGAGAATTTTTGCATCTACATTTACAAGGGATATTGGTCTATAATCTTCTTGTTTTAGTAGTTCTGGTATCCGAGTTATGCTGGCTTCACAGAATGAATTCCAGAGTATTCCTTCCATTTCTGTGTTCTGGAATAGTTGAATAGTCAACTTTTCTCTGAATGTTCAGTAGAATCCTCCAGAGCTGTCTTGGGCAGGGCTTTTGTTGTTGTTGTTGGGAGTTTGTTTTTTTTTTTTTTGTAATGACCTCTTCAATTTCTTCTTTTGTTATGAGTCTGTTCAGATTTTCTACCGCAGTTTGTGTTAGTCTGGGTAGGCAGTGTGTTTCTAGAAATTTGTCCATTTCTTCTAGGTTTTCAAATTTGTTGGAGTATAATTTTTCATAACATTCTGATTCTTTTTATTTCAGTTGGTTCTGTTGTAATGTCACCTATCTCATTTCTTATTTGAGTTATTTGCATTCTCCTTCTTTTCTTTTGTCAATTTGGTTTGTAGATTTTATCGACCTTTTCAAAGAACCAACTTATAGTCTTGTTGATTCTTTTGATTGTTTTATTATTTCCTGATTCATTTATTTCTGCTCTAATCTTTATTATTTCTTTTCTTCTGACAGCCAAAGCCTTACTTAAGGGCTGTTTCACACTGTCTGACTGAAGGAATTGTCCGGTCTTGCTGTACATGGCATTTAAATATTATTCATCCACAACTATGACATGCATTCAAAGTGAAAGTAGTGTAATCACAGAGGCAATATCCACCCAGAGACATTTAAAATTAATTTTCTTTACAGTAATCATTAAAGATTTAAGAAACTTCCGGTTTCTAAATACTCTCATAAAAACAATGAATTAATAAAGAATGAGAGTCAAATTCATTCTACTTATCTGTGTACCCTATAGGAAGTAAGTTGTAAGTAGCCTCCCCCACAAACTGTAACTTTTCTTTTAGGCAAAACAATGAAATCTTATCACCGCCCCCACTACAATTTGTAGCTTTTTGAAATAACCCCTATGTGATGTTACAGGTAAGTAAAATAACCAAAACTTCCCATGTATTTTTCTTAGACTAATTTTGAGATTTTTGAAGACTTTGGGAAAGTTATTAAATGTTTGAAAGGTCTCAAAAGGCAACAACTGAAAATTAGGTAGACTATACTATGTGGGAGCCCTGGTGGTGCAGTGGTTAAGTGCTCAGCTGTTAACAGAAAAGTCAGCGGTTTGAACCCACCAGCCACTCTGTGGGAGAAAGACGTGTCGATCTGCTTCTGTAAAGATTATAACCTTGGAAACCCTGTGGGGAAGTTCTACTCTGTCCTATAAAGTCCTCATGAGTCGGAACTGACTTGATGGCAACGGGTATACTATTAGAGTCTCATATTAAGGAAATAAAAGAACAACATATTATTTTAGCATTCTGAAACAGACATAACATTAGTATTATTTTCTGGGAAAGGAAATGGGTACAGTATTCAGATTTAACTTAAAAACTAAACTGAAGGATCAAGCCAGCAAAGACTTTTACAGAAGATTACTTTCTGGTTTTCTGGAAAACTGTCAGAACTCCCCAGTTTGTCTCGGAAATACCACTTTCTGTTAGGAGAGGTCTGCTACTTCCCAAGCAATCTGTTTAGTTCCTCTAGGTGATCCCAATTCCAGAGTAGTGGGTTGGGCTTCCCCTTCTATCACTTTTCTCAGACGCTTCTGGAGGAAAAGGAGCAAGAGATAATGTAGAATAAATCCAGTAGCATAGAGAAGCTGGAAATTAATTTTCGATCTCTCTGAGGATGGGTGAAACCACAACTTGGCAACAACAAAGCTGTACTGGTTAGGTGGAGGAAAAAAGGGGACCCAAGCAAAGGAAAAAGCTATAATAGGAACATGCCAGAGATTGTGGAAAATAAGACCCTGGAAAGCATTGGAAAGGGCTGATTTCTTCTTCAAAAACTGGCAAACTTTAGAAGTCTGATACTTTAAAATAAAATTTTTTTTTAAAAAAAAAGTCAAATTTCCTGAACATCAGCAAGCAAATCCCTGGTTGTACTTATTTTCATGAAATAAAACTAGACAGCAACAGTGTGGAGAGACATAAATAAAGACATCCAGATCATACATAAACTACATAAATTAACAAACGATGAACATTGCCTATTATCTTACAATCATCGGGATAAGTGATTTGGGTAAAGAAGGGGGAATGGTGATGGGATGTTAAGATAGGTTAAGAAGAAGGAGTTCACTACTTTTTTCAGAGAAGGCTCTCAAGAGGAGGCTAGATTCCAGACTCTGGCAGAACAGCACAAGAGTTTAGCAGAATGTTCCAACAAACCACAGGAACATAGTTCAGAGGGGGAGTGAACTGATTATATGAATGAGGCATTGAGTGAGGGAGTCTGAGAGAAGAAGGGGGAATGGCCAAGGGAAATAGGGCTGGTTCAGGGTGCACTAGTTAAGCCCTCCAGAGAAAGGCTAAGGCAGGGGCAGGGGAGGGCAGAATAAAAAGGCACAACAGTTTCTTCACTTATCTCAACAGGCAAGTCAAGGACTAAGGTTTGCACTACCTGGAAAAGCTGGCCAGCAGGCTTGCCCTGGGAGTGAAAATTTTCGACAGGAGAGGGCCCTTTCTGATGAAATGCTGCGGCGGTATTCCCTGAATTCCTAGCTGGATACCACTGGGCAAAAACTGGAGAGGAGCGGGGATGTCTAGGGCAGGTGTTCCTTGAGTGTTGTCACGGACTAGCGAGAGCTGAGACGTGTACTTAACGACATGCAGGAGACGGCGGTAGCTGCGCGTGCAAACCACTGGACTTACCTTACTGTCATCCATCTCGGCCGACAAGCCGGCCGGCCCGGCGCTCCTTCCCCGGGTCCTCCCCTGGTTCAGCCGGCCTGGCCCGGTCCGGCCCCCGCCCCGGGGGAAGAAGGAGATATGGTTCTGACTGCCTCCTTCTCTTGCCTAACAGCTCGCCTCCCGGATGCCACAGTCACGGGGACGAGGGACCAGTTCAGGAATGGCACAGCGGTCCCCGGAGGCGGCCCAAAACGCCTCCCTTCACCGCCGCCGCCTCCTCCTCCCTCTCCATGACAGTCTCTGGGTGTGTTTACAGACGCTCCGGAGAGCCGCAGGGACCGGGAGGTGGGCGGGGTGTGCTGCGAACCGGACGGCCCCTTCGGCTTCCGTAACTGTGCGGTATTCTGGGTATTGTAGTTTCCTTTGCAGCAGTCTCTGCGCGGCTGATAGGAAAGAGAACTATAATGTCCACATACCCCAGGAAACGAGCGTCTGTTTTCCTTTTGCCAGCAAGCGCTGAGGAGGAGGGACCCAGTGGCAGGAAGAAACTACGTTTCCCACAGTGCACCCGGATATTTCGGGGCCCTGAGGGTGGCTGCTTGGCTGGGGGAGGAGGATGGTTAGGGCAAGGCGAGGCAGCCCTGACCGCCGAGCTCTGGGCCTGCCCTCAATTTCTGGAAAGCAGAGGAAACCGTAATAGTTTTTTTAATTAAAAGAATAACTAAGAATGTCAAGTGGTGCAGCCGCTTTGGGAAGCAGCTTGGCAATTCCTCAAAATGTTAAACAGAGTTGTCATATAGTCAGCAATTCAACTCCCAGGTAGACACCAAAAAGAAAACATATGTCCACATAAAATCATTTGTACATGAATGTTCATAGCCGCATTATTCCTAATAACCTGAAAGTGAAACAACCCAAACGTCCGTCAACTGATGAATGGATAAGAAGATGTGGTATAACCATACAATGAAATGTTAGTCATAAAAGGAACGAAGTACTGATTCACGCTACAACATTGATAAAATTTGAAAACACGCTAAACGAAAGAAGCCAGTTACAAAAGGCCACAAATTGTATGATTCCATTGATATGAAATATCCAGAATAGGCAAATCATACAGAGAGAAATAGTGGTTGCCAGCGGCTGGTTAGGGACGTGGGGGTGGGAGGCGGGGAATGGGCAGTGACTGCTAATGAGCAGGAAGTTTCTTTTTGAGGTGATGAAAATGTTCTAAAATTGATAGTGATAATGGTTGCACAATTCTGTGAATATACTGAATTGTACACTTTCAATGGGTGAATTTTTATAGTATAAAAATAAATTAGTTTTAAAAAAAAGTATCTTTGTGTACTACTGAATGAATAGTTGGTTAGCTTGCTTTTTGGTTGTTTTAACCTATTTTAGGCCTTTGAGAATTTGATGAAGATTGTGTGTTTATTAACATTTGTCCTGAGGAGCCCTTTGATTCACACTTTTTCAAAGAGTTCTAAAGTGAGTTGCTTGATTGCTTTGGGTTTGTTGCTAAATCCTTCCAAAATTCAACTGAGGTAGATAGCAATAAAAATACAGGACATTTGAATTTCAGGTAAACAGGAAAAATATATATATATATATATTTTCTATATCTTTTAGCATAAGTATGTCCCCTGCAATATTTGGGATACACTTTTACTTCAAAAGCATTCCTTGTTTACCTGAAATTCAAATTTAACTGCTTTTCCTCTGTTTTATTTGGCAACCGTAAACTGAGGAGCACGAACAGGTAAGGGGAACCCTGGTGGCGCATCATTAAGAGCTTGGCTGCTAAATAAAAGGCAGCAGTCCGAATCTAGCAGCTGCTCCTTGGAAACCCTATGGGGCAGTTCTACTCTGTCCTATAGGGTCGGTATGAGCCGGAATCGACGGGATGGCAACATTTTATCTTTTTAGGAGAGGAGCCCTGGTGGCCCTAGTGGTTAAAGCGATTGCTTCCCTAAAGGTGAGCAGCTCGAAACCATCAGCGGCTCAGCAGGAGAAAGATGTAGCAATCTGCTTCCCTAGAGATTTACAGTCTTGGAAACCCTATGGGGTCACTATGAGTGGGAATCGACTTGACCAGTGGGTTTTAACAGGAAAGTAAGGAGGCCTGGTGGTCCAGTGGTTAAGCACTCCACTGCTAACCAAAAAGGTCGGTGGTTGGAACATCTTGCTCCATGGGAGAAAGATGTAGCAGTCTGCTTCCTAAAGATTAAACCAAATCGGTTGCTGTCCAGTAGATTCTGACTCATAGCGACCCTATAAGACAGAGTAGAACTGCCCCATAGGGTTACAAGGTGAATTGTCTCTGGTTGCTGGGATGGTCTGCATCGTCAGCGGTCACCCCGAGGCCCGGGAGCATCAGTAACCCTCAAACTGCATTCCTGTTGGCTTGAGAGACACCTCCGATCATCAAGGGAGCAAAAGTCTGTGCTAGTACGGGGTCTCTTCCTCTTCCTCACCTAATATCCCTTTTCTTCCACGCCCTCACGAGTCGCTTTCCACCTCTAGGCGCTTACTTCTCATCGTGTGTCCAGCGTAGCCTCGATTCCACTTCCACAACCACGCCTTGCCACTGTTGAGCACTCTTCTTCGGAGTGGAACTGTGTCCCCCCCGGGCCAGTCCTTGCCACCCTCTCTTCCCGCATGCCAGCTGCCCTAAAGAAAGAGTCTCTGCTGACAAACGTGCGCCTGGCAGGCCGCCTGTAATGGTGCTCAGCCACGCGATCCTTCCGCCAACGCGAGTCCCACTGACCGCCATGCTCGGCTGTGTATCAGTAGCTCCCAGGCCCAATCGCCACCCTTCAGGAGGGGGGACCTTTTAAATCATGCAATGGATATATAAAAACACGCAGGGGAAGTATATACATCAGCTTCAGGAAAGTGGTTAATTATCTCTAGGGAGATAGGGAGGGGACTGGAATCGGGAGGGTCTTGGGCAGTTAGATGTATATTTAACTTTATTTTTTAAAGAAAAGAAGCAAATACGTTCATTCTGGTGATGGTAGATTCAGAGTGATGTATTATTTTCTTTATATTTTTGCACATTTTAAATATTACATCATTAAAATGGAAACACATTCACTTTAGAAAGTGTGGAAATACTTTTAAGTTTTTAATTTTTTTAAGTTTTAAAAATAAACCAGAATTGTCCCAAGACTTTGTGAAGAGAAGAAAATCCTATGAAGAAGAAATATTATATAGTCACATGTTAAACATTTACTGAGAAGCAGCCAGAATTGGTAACAAAGAGGTGAGGCAAGAACAAGAGGGAGTATTAGTTTTTGTTTAAGAATAAATCCTCAAGGACTGTGTAATTCAGGAAGGGGAAATGCATACATACATCAGACAAAGAAAAATCACAAATAAGGCATCTGGTAAAAAATAATACAGGTCAAATTTAACATCTAGGTGCTGATAATTTGAGACTAACGGGGTGTTCAGAGCGGGTAGGGAGAACCAAGGATCAGAATGACTGGGGAAAAGGAAAAGTGAACACAGTAAATAGAGTTTTTTAAGGGTGGTGGGGTGGTGGATAGGGCTAAAAGACTGATAATGCTCTGGGGATCCTAGGCATATTCTATATCCATGATTCGGAATCTTTTCTTCCTAAACTGCCTTCTCAAAAGGAATCTCTGAAGCGGGCAATTCCCTTAAAAATGCGCATGGTCTCCTCCCCATCTTCCTCATCTCTCCCTCCACAACACACACAAACATATCATAATACTCTCAGACACCCCACACAGAGGCACTGTTGACCTATGATCCATCAAGCCTCCACGGCTGCTTTGGAGTTTCTTGTAGTGCATTCGTAAGCAGCGTGGCACACACCCACACCCACCAGGTCTGCATACCCTCCCTCTACTCATCTCTCTCTCCTGTCCCCCTTACTACTTGGCTAGAAGATCACAGGTGTCTAAACAGAGCCAAGATGATCATGTTACTCCCTGGACCACATGGGTCCGCTTGGGCACATACCCCTGGGAAACATCAGAGAGAAAGGGAGCTCATTAAAATAGCTTGTTAGGCTCCAGCTGACTTTCCATTAAGTTTGACACCTGAGTCTGAGTACATAAAAATTATTCAGTCTCTTCCAAACTTCTATTGGAAATGAAAATTGATTCAGTTCTGGCATGGAAATTTTTGCTACTCTATCTCCAATACAATCTAAAAGTACAACAATGAAAAGCAATGCCTACCAAGAAACAGACAAAGATGATATGAAATCTCCCAGGGTAACTTCTGATCCATTTTAACACACAGGAGAAAGAAGGTATCCCAGAGTTAACCCAGAAGTGACCATTCATTACTTCTCTGTCCCTCGCTTATCTTTTCAGAGAGAATTGGTCATCTGTGGCTGAGTGATAAAGATTTTAAAAGGCAGCATTATTCGCACAATGAATTTGTGGATAGTTCAAATCATGACATAGAGACTGAGAAAGGAAAGGAGGAGAATTATTCAAAGAAAAAAAACAAACCACTGATTGAAGAGAGGTAGGGGGTGGCATGAGATTAAGTAAGGAGGGTAAAGGAACAAAAATTAACCTTATTATAGAAACTACAAACGAGGCAGAACAGTACAATATTCTACATTCAGGAATGTCATGGCTAAGTTGATATGTAAATCTGGCCCTTGAACAACAGCGTATTATTGCTGCTGATATGGGAATCTTCAGAGGTACAGAGAAAAAGTGGGTGGGTCATGTGAAATTCATGAAATGCTTGAGGTGAGCTCATCGTTGAACTATTAGTCATGCTTTGTTTTGTGTTTGGTTTTTTTCCAACTTATTTTATAGACGAGTATTACTCTGTACTTTCTGTTTTCTAAAAGTTTGTTTTATTTTCATGAAGCTATAAAGTATTCTATCTCAAATGTTTGTTTTTGTTCTAAGGGCATTTTGCAACATGCCACCCCTCCTTTGGCCTACACGGACAAATATGCCTACATTTGCATACAGCACAGTACCTATTACTTTCTGCATTGCTTAGAAAGTTCAGAGGCAAGAGCCTAAAGGAACATTTTCAGAGTGAGCACATAATTCAGCCTCCAGCTTGTCAGCAAGGGCAAAATAAATACATACATAAATAAATAATGCCAAGAAGGACTCAGACAGTCTGTTGACAGACAGGGAAGGAAAAAGAGACCCAATCAGCATTAATAATAAGGAAGAGAAAAGGACGCTTAAGGAACCAAAACTTCCATGTCCAAACTTTGCCTCATATGACCATATAATACTTCTTCCTAAGAATTTTTTCTCTTCACGAAGTCTTATTTTATGACAATTCAGGTT